AAATCCCTTCGCGCCGAGGTTGAAGCAAGACATCCACGCCTGGTTCCGCGTTTCGTCCTCCTTGTCGGAGTCGTGGAGAGACCCAGTGTGTCAGAACTTGGCCCCAAGGCACAAAAAAATCAAGGAAGCGTTGAAAGGACAGTTATACAATATGTGATATAGAATATGTAGTTATGAGTTACGAATTTCCTGTGCAAATCAGTGGGCCACGCGGAATCTCGCCCTGAGCATCCTGAGCAGTGCCACGGCAAAGCGATCTCCGAAGTCGGATATCGCTCTGTTGCATCCACCATGTCGTGGCCAAGCAAACCCGCCCGAAGCTTTAGTGAGAGCGTTTGCTACAAGATCCTATTTTTGTAACGTGCTAAATTGCAGGCTTTGTGTCCGTTTGATCCTCGTTCCAAGCCCCTTGTATGGCACAGGTGCGCGTGCGCCAGCGAATGCCATGAAAAGTTGAACCTACAAAGACGGCCGCCGGTGCTGGCACTGTCACAGTTGGGGTTCACTCTCTATCGGGCCCACGGTGACAAGTAGGATGGAGCCGATAACCAACCTTCAAACTTTTCCGAAGCGAGCCGCGAGACCCTCATCTAAATCGCCTTTCTGGGTGAACCATGCATGCCTGAACCTTAGGATTCTTTAGGTAGTGCATCGTTGTGCCCAATCTTGGTTGATTCTTCGCCCCGCCTTTGCGCCTTTGAGCTGCTGCGTACTTCAGCAACATGTTGCTGTGGCATCCCACCTCTTGTTCACGAGACCTGCTATCGGGCAGGTCGAAACATGATCCGCATCCGCATCAGTGTTTCTGAGCGTGGGTTCCCGCAGCTGGCAGATGAAACGTGTTTGCCAGCGTTGTCTTTGCCTTCATGTCGTGTGCTTCAAAGCCGCTGCAGCCACACCATGCTCCCAACAAGCTGAGCAGCATAACTGTGCATGACTGTTAATACTACATGCATGTCGCCGTCCTGTTAGTTTGATCTCACAACAGAGGCCGCACCCGACATGTTTCACTCGTGACATAGCCAGGTACCAGCTGAGCGTGGAGCGCGAAACTACCTGGCTTTCGCACAGGGGTCCTCCCTTCTGGATCCTCACGCGGCATCTGAGTCTTCGCAGTTCCCCAGTGTACTGAATGAGTCAACAAATTGCCGACACCTAAGTCTAAGTACTTAGGCCTTAGCATTTCAGTCGTGCGAAGCCTCTGAATGTTTCATTTGGTACCCGTACCATCGACTCAGTACCAGTACGAGTGATGCTTAAAGTGAGACTAGGGGCGCCAAGTTGTAATCACGGTGGGTCAGATCGTCGTACACGTAGAGCTTGTGTACGGCTTTACACAGACTGCGGGACTGTTTGGAGGCCCATGATCTCCTTGATGGCAGGAATCGTGAAAATGGGAGTTTCCGAGAGTTGGAGTAGCTTACTTTGGCGTCCTTACAACAAGGATCCTACTATTTAGGGTACTGTATTAGGATCATGGGACTTCGTAAGTAAGGTTATAATATCCTAAATAGGAATACAACATCTATAACCCCAGTTACTCCCATGATCCTCTATAGGCATTTTCGGAAACTCTCAAATCAGAGAGCGCTCATCGTGGGCCAGGACGTGGCTGCTAGCTCGAAATCTGAGCTAGGCTTGTCTTTTCCTCGCCAGCGTCTCTGCGAGATGGGGAGAAGACATGGCACTTTCCCGTCGAAGCGCTGCAAGATCTTCTGAAGCGCATTGCCCCACTGTGGCAAGCACACACAAAGAAGTGCAGCCTTGGGCTAGAAGGTCCCTTTGGGCTCTTCAGCCTGAGATCCCGTGTTTGCAGCATGGTTTCCTCCTTGTCAGAGCTGAAGGTGGCTTGTCCTTTGCCAATTAATTCTGAACGCTTGTGTATGTTTGTGTACCCCATGTTCTCGCAGGCCATGGGCATGGACGTCTGCACCGAGGTGGCGGCAAGCTTGCAGCTTGTTCCGGCATCAGCATTTGCTTTTGGTCAAAGGCAGCCTGCTGACATAATATTGTTCCGTTGTTGGAAGAGCAGAGCCTGCAGCCGTCGCCCAGGTCGTTGCGTCGTGCTCCTGCTCTACCGCATCTGCTTGGCAGCGCCCAGAATGTGACTCGCTTGTAGCCAAAGCCAAAGGACCTGGCGCCTGTGAGGGTTTAGGTTTTGCGGGGTGTTTTGTGACAGCGTGAGGCAAGGTGATGTACTGGTAGCGAACATGTGGGAGCATCCTGCCTTTCGGACTTTTTCCATGCGATCATTCCCAGACTGACGCTGCTGCCAGGCACAGATATGCTACATGTTCAATGATTTTGATTTGCTGCTTCTGCAGCTTCGGACTAACAAGTCTCACACGGCGGTTCTTCATGTCAAAGTTCACGTCGTTGTGAGCCCGATTTCACTTTGCATCATGACTGCCGTCGCCAACATGCATGGACATTTTTCCGCAGAGTGTCCCGAGTAGTTCCCAGATGCTCTTAGTCGAACATCCAACGGTGGGAAAAGACGGGTGCGGTGCTCTCAGGAGCTCCACGTTGTCGATTGTAGGCCTTCGTGTCGAGCCATGTGGGGTCGTTTTGAAATTCAGGTTTGGCAACAGGCACTAAACGAACACATCACAATTGCTGCGACTGACATTGGTGGACCATGACCAGGACGGACGTTTGCGACAGCTGTTGTAAGGTTGCAACGGAGAAGGTAAACGAATCTTTTGCATCCTTGGGAGCCCTAGAAACACTGTCTTGATACAGGCATTGGTGGAGGTTGCAAGCTATGGAGCATTTTGCCTTTGCCATGGGTTTCGTGATGCGCACTTAACGCAATGGCTGCACGCAGCCTCCGTTTGCAAAGGCCATCGCGCTGAGGCAGCGCTTAGGGTTTAGGGTTTAGGGTCCCGTTCGTCTGGCCTCGGACGATCGTGGATTGCCGGTGTGCCAGGCCTCATTGCAAGTGGAGTTGGCCAATGTCATTCAGGCCAGAGAGCTGAGGAGGGGACCGATGATTCATGGTTCTGCGACCCCGTGACCACTTCACCTTGAGACCGCAGCACCTTTGTCGCAGGCACCGACCGGAGGAGCCATGAGCCGTGCAACGAGCTCTCTAGCAGGCAAAGGCACGCTCAAAGAAATCAGATTGAAGTTCAGACTGCGGTTCATGTCATTTCCGAGAAAGTTCAATGTGCAGTTAGGGTTTTGCCGAGGCAATTGCTGACATGAAAGATATTCGCTGTTGCAGCTTTGAGCGATGCGGCAGCATACCCAAAGCAGTAACCAGAAGAACATGCCAGCAATGTCCAGGGCTTCTTTGGCATCACCACATGCTGCGCTAGCTGCATCCAACCTGCTCTCCTTTGGGATTCATGCATCGCCCAACGCTCTCTGTGGCAGCATGCCTTGCTGACATGGACGGGATTGGAGGCGGCGGCGCAGAACAGGGCCCAGATGACAGCATCGCGGCCACGAGCTCGTGCTTCGACTCTCTGGCAGCTGACAGCTCCAGGTCCCTGAGCAGCTTGCAGCAGCCGCTGCTGTTGCAGCGACTGGAGGCAGCGGCGCAGAACAGGGTCCAGATGAAAGCATCGCGGCCACGAGCTCGGAACGAGCATGACTGCTAAGGCGCTTGGCGGCACCATTAGCGCCAAAATGATGGAGAAGAGGCAACGGACTCTTGGAGGCTGGCCTGCTTGTCGAGCCGCTGGCGGGCGCCAAGCGACAGGCTGCGTGAGCCAAGACAAAAACGAAATATCATAGCACGTCCAAGGTTCCGCTGAGCAGAAGGCAAGGCCGCAAGGCGATGCAAGGCGGCAAGACCAGATCCGCATCCTCTCCAGACTCTGAAGCCTGAGGAGCGCGAGTAGGTTCACGGAAACACACTCGTCACAAGGAAGCTGTCGAGGTCCGATCACCGTGGAGCTGACCCGAAGGGCGCAGCACGATGGATACACACTGTGTGAGTTGAACGCCCAAGGCGTGTTGCACATCTTTGCAGGTGTGGCCATTGTACATAAGCGGGACCACAGTTCAAGCAAAGCACGCGCTCAGTGCAGCTGTGTGTGAGCATCGTCAGGCCAATGTTGCAGGCCTTGCCGGCGTTACTCTGCAGACTTTGCATGAAGTGTATACACTCGAAGACCTTCACATATCGAGGCAGGCCAAAGAACACATGAAACCAGGAGAGTACAAGACTCAATGCCAGGCCATGCACGCATGCAAGTCACCCAAGCAAGCACTGCGACCTACAACGAGGAATTGGGTGCATGCACGAGACTAAAGAACTGTCAACTGCGATGATACTGTAGCTAGCAAGCTACCTGCAAAACACCGGGTGCAGACTACTGCAACGAGCAGCAAGCACACGGGCGCGCAAGCTACAGCGGCCGAGCCGCCAGCGGCAGGCGCCGCCAGTGAAAAGCAGGAAACGATTACATACCTACGAGCCCCATAGCCCCAAACTCTGTCCGCATGCATGAGGGTGTTTTAGTGCATGAATTCCACAGTACTTCTTTGCAGAGAATAACACTCATTAGGACATGTCTTGAACAAGACTGTGCTACTGAAAATTCTAAACAGAAGAGTAACCAGGAGAAATCGTGCTTGGTCAGTCACTGGCCACGCGATGCTGCCGGCAGAATTTTAGTCCGCGGCTTGCCCCTAGGGTTTCGGTTTGGGGTTTAGGGTCTAGCGTTCAGGGTTGGGGGGTCATCTCCCGTGTAGCGCTACATAGGGAGCTAAACCTCGCTTCTCCCGAACCCCAGTGTGGATTGCAGGGTTTAGAGTTTAGGGTGAGGGTGTATGAATGCTATCAGGCTTCCAAACCGAAATTCCTAGTTCCTCAAAGCCTTGAACCACCCCTCAAGGTCGTGGTTCGGCAGAGACTGTGCAGCCCGCAATTGAAGCCCCGATCGGCAGTCACGCAGTTGTGCTCACCCTAGGACACAGCGAGGCCGGGAGACGCTTGTGAGGCGCGCGGCGCACTCACCGCCGGTAGGTAAAGAACGCTGCTTCAGGAAATGTGGATGTGCATCCAACAGCCGAGTGAGGACGAGGTGCTTTAAGGCGTGGTTTTGTTTTCAGTGCCACCATCCAGCATACCCCGACGCAGGCACGACGTGATGCTGACCCGCGCATGTCAGAACTCCTGAAGGAGGACGCGGGCCCGGTAAGTGCATGCATCATTGATGCCGCATGCCTGCCAGGAATTGGTGTCTTTGCGCAACACATTGATGCGAGAGATCCGGCAGATGCTGGCGGAGCAGATCCGTGACATCCGGCTCTTGGTCAAGGTGTGTTGCCAGTCTATTATGCGCAAATATGCGCACTTTTGGTTTTCACTGTCGCGCACGGCTGTGGTTTGCCAGTTGACCAGGACAGTGGCTCCAGCCCGGAGGTAGATCGTTCGTGGGGAGCTTGGTGGCACGCACGAGCCCGCCAGAACAGTTGCAAGACAGCGTATCATGTTCAGAAACGCCGAGGGCACCTGACATCTGCTCCTTTGCTCTCAGCGAGGAGGACGGCAGTCATTGAAGATACGTAGACATTGACGGGAGAGATTTTGGAGTGTGACAGATCTCGACGTCGGACTCACCGGTGCATGCCGCGTCGAAGCCTGAGCCCGATGCGAGTCCATGGGGATCCTGCAAGATTCGAAGCTTGCTGCCAGGCAGTTCGAAATCGATTCCGAGTATGACGATTTCGACTGGTCGCAGGTGCACTCTGTGCCACCTCTGACGGCAGAGCTTTGTGACTTTGTGCATGTGGAGACGTGGAGACGTGTCTGAAGCTGACAGCTCTCTCTCTCTCTCTCACTCTCTCTCTCTCTCTCTCTCTCTCTCTCTCTCTCTCTCTCTCTCTCTCTCTCTCTCTCTCTCTCTCTCTCTCGTACTTGTGAGGTGGAGGCGGGCTTCACTGAGGCGCCGCCGCGGGCTGTGTCAAACTGAGCGAGGGGTTGGTGTTGTGGTTTCTTGGGTGGGAGCAGTCAACATACAGTACATTCTTGTTGCGCAGGCGGCTGATGGCGGAGACGAAGACCAAGATGCCCAGCAGCCCGGAATCGATGAGCTGAGCATGTGGTGTGCACGAGCTCTGAGGAAGGATTTTCCAGCCCCGAGAAAGTGCCCTTGGTCTGACTTCCTCGCGAGGTGCAACAATTTCAAAAGCAATGTGATGTTGACGAGCTCATAGCAGAACCAAGATCGCCGCCACAGGACGAGATGAAACACACGCCGCGGGCTGGACTATGGACGGTCTTGCAGGCCTGGGAATCGGAAGCGAAGGCATCATGTGTGGTTGCCAAACATCGACATGCCTTCACGAGTTTTGATTAGCAGATGCTTCAGGACGGAAAAGCTTGGCCGATTGAGGCCGCCGAACGACTTGCGCGCAGCTTTCACCCCTCACCAGCCCTGCTAGCAGCCCGGGCAGGTACAGGGAGCGGAATCGCTGCAAGGCCTCCCTGTCGTGTGCCCTGTCACAAGTCATCTCTCGTTTGGCTGTGAAATTTTGGCTGCCAAATTCTGCAAGCGGATCAGAAGGGATGCGGGGATCGTTTGTGCAAGCATGGACCCAAGTATCCGAATCGGCTGTTGGCAAACGGGCGGTTGTCAAAATGAAGGTCTCTTTTTGGGTCCTTGAATATACTACAGCACCTAGCATTTAGGGTAGTGCCCAAAAAAACCATAGTTTTGACAACACCCAAATCGTTCACTGCTTTCTTCCATTCCTGTGGAGCCTTCTCGAGCACTGCAGCTGAGGCTACTTGCGGAAATTCGGCGATTTGTCTCGGTGGCCTCCTTGATGTTTCAGCGAGTGGCAGTTGGAGTTGAGAACTGCACTCACCGACCATTTTTCCCAGATGGATAATGTACAGCAATGAAACCCTAAACCCTAAACCCTAAACAAAACAAGATAAAGCATACTTAAAGCAGCTTGAAGATTGGGGTTCGGGGGCCTGGGACCTTGGGGTCACGAGTCGGTTTGAGGCCGACGATGAGTTCGAAAAGTTGGGCGGCGCGAGCCGGGTCATGAGCCAGGCACGGGCACACGACGACTACTACTACTACTACCACTACTACGACGACTACTACTACTACTACTACTACTGCTACTACTACTACTACTACTACTACTACTACTACTATTCCTGCTCTCCCTCCTACTACTACTTCTACTGCCACGACGACGACGACTACGACGACGACCACTACTACTACTACTACTACCACGACTACTACTACTACTACTACTACTACTACTACTACTACTACTACTACTACTACTACTACTACTACTACTACTACTACTACTACTACTACTACTACTACTACGACTACGACTACGACTACTACTACTACTACTACTACTACGACGACGACTACTACGACGACGACAACGATTACTGACATTCATAGTAATCATACTTACATGGTACAAGCAATAACAATAATGTAAAACATAGAAAGAATTACAATGGTATATGGGCCTATTAGAGTAAGGTTTCTTTAAGTGTTGCTATAACGGTTCTATAACATGCGTCTCCAGGCCAGATTTGACTCCTGCTCCGCATCTAAGCTTTGAGGCGACCGTCGCTGCAATGATACTGGACGAGCTCTGCACAAGCTGCTGTGGGGTCGTCCAGCCAGCTTTGGGGGAGGTCACATGGTATGTGCGCCTACATGGGAGAAAACGCAACAGAGAAAGATCGCGCGCAGCCATCAAGCAGTAGCAATTGCTTCCTGTGCTTGGATAGTTGCAGGAGTTCTAGGCCCAACTGCGTCCGAGAATTCCTGAGGTTGTGTTGCTAAGACGCTAAGAAGTTATATTGAAGCCCTTGCTAGCTCTTCGGCGCGTGTCCTACCGACTGCAGGCTTCAAGATTTGTGCATCGTTTTGGAGTTGCGCAAGACAAGAAGGCCACCGACTCCGTTGGCTCATAGTCGCCGTCTTGACTTGACTTGATCCTGCCACGGCCATGGCAGCGAACATCAAGGCTGCCTGGTGACACTGACACTGAGACCGTTTCTGCCAGGAATCGAAAAACGATGACGCGCACACCCGCCCACACAGACATCGTCACGTCAAGTGCACGCAGGCAGATGGCCCGGCAGATGGCCCGGATGGCCTCCGGCTTCGGAGCTGGGATGATGCCCGGCCGCACTTGATTACTTGTGGCGATATTTTGTGATATCTTGTGGAGCCACTGGGGCGAGCTTGTGCTGTCTGCTTTGCCATTGTTGAGAGCACATGGCCTACCAAAAGACTCTGTTGAAGCGTCTCACGATCTGACTGTCTGACCACAACAAGCCACCCAGCCTGGCCATTCCAAGGAGTGCCATCTTTGGACAGTTGACCTTGTTCGGTTCACCGAAAGGCTTGGCTTTACGCCAGTTTCGTCACGGGCCGGGAAACAGTTAGATCACTGATGGATCCTTGCCTGCAGGTGCTTCACTTGTCTAGAGATGACCAGGAGGGGTTGCAGTTGTGTTAAGGTTTGTTTCCACGGGTACAGCAATTAGTGGCTCCCCCAATGGTGTTTGGTGGGCAGGTACTACTGATCAAAGAGGTCGCAGGGCAAGGGACGGCCCTAGCTTCTTGGAACCAGGTGGGTTCCAAAAAGTCGCCAGCAGTGGTGTTGGATGCGGGTGACAACGCTGACAGGCACATCCGGAAAGAGCAGGCTCGATGTCGTTCTCTGGCTCCGTGAGTGCTATGTTGAACCACCGCTTGCGTAGCCAGGAGACCGCATCCTTCAGGTCAATGAGCAGGCCCGCGCGGAAGGACTGAAGCAGGACGATTGCAGCTGTGGTGCGTCTTGCGCGAGTTGGCGATGATGCAATTTGCGTTTAGGAGCTACGTGTGTCTGGGAGCTCAGCTTGATATGCCGCAATCTGTCAACATGTGCCATGTCAATAGCACCGGCGCCTTGTGAGGAATCCGCAAGTCACACTGCACATGACTCGCTACCCGAGAACGTCGTGGTCTGGGTCGCCGAATGGCCGAGTTGCTGATTCTGTTGATGGTCCATCTTGCCATGCCCAGGTTCGAAGCCACATTCGATGGGCGGCGGGACCTTGGCATCCGGTCTGAGTTAGCGCCTCAGGGCCTTGACCAGCGAATGGGGACGCGCAGTGTGCAGTGAGCCGTGTCAGTAGGAGAATTGGGCCTGGAGTTCAGGACAGCTGAATTCTGATGTCCCTGGTCTGTGGCGCTGTTGCGGGTTCGTGTGATGGACGAATGGGCAGGTCTTGGCGCAGGGTGCCATCAGCATTTCCAACCATCAGTGGGTCACGACCCAAGCAGTGGTGTTAAAGGAAAGCCATGACTAGCATTCGCCCGTGGCATGTTTTTTTGCGGCACAGGTCGTGCCGCGCAAGTACCACAGAGTCATCAAGCGCGGTATGTTTATTGTGAAAGCTCGCGCCACAGACTTTATCGGTACGTTCAACGATTCATCTTCTACGGACACTTTTAGGTCCTGTTCGGTGTTTTGCGATGTCAAGACTTGGCTGTGCAAGGTCAACGAAACGAGCGAGGCTCATTTGATGGAGTCTGAGCTGCGCAAAGTGCAGCAGCTGACGCTCCTGGTCCGGCGAGGACGAGACACGTCTGAGGCATGGGTGGCGCCGCAAGTTACACGGGCATGTTCTTTGTATGAAGGATTCTGAAAGACGAAATTGCTATGGGTTGCCCCGCACTTCTGTCACTGGTTTTATCATCAGGCAGAGATTCATTTATGTGTGGGTTCCTGTTGCCGCTGCGGGTTGCTGATCCATTTTCAAGTTGCATGCTCAAGTTGCAGGCGCGCAACTTCGATGATTGCTTTGTGCAAACCCTGCATTACATCCGTCGGGTACTCAGCGTTTGGACAAATTGCTGGGGCTTCTCAGGTGACGACTGTGAGAAACACGCGTAGTGGCGGCACCTGAGTCGTTTGGTGTTTGGGCCACTTATGGCTTTCCGGATCAGTTGTAAATCTGTCGCTTGTTTGGACAAGTAGTTTCCAGCGTGTATACTTATTTGTAAAGGTAGTCTCCTTTGCCGATCTGTTCGTGGTACTCGCAAATGGGATGTGCCCTAAACCCCAAAAAAACAACCCTAGACCCGGATTGTCGTTTCCAGAGCTCTGACTCTTGAAGCTGAAGGTATAGCGTGATATGATAAAGGAAGTAAAATAGTATAGTATCATAATATAATGAAAGATGACATAGTCTAACATAGCAGACATATTGTCAGACAATACTACAATCGAAGGCAATCTCAATGAGGTACCAATGAGGTACCAGTATTCCGCTCCGGACCACGTCGAAAGTTCAAGAATCTTCTTGGTTATTGAGTATGCTGTCTTGCTCACGGCGTCTGTCTGTTTGGGAAGGGATGTTTGTGCGGAGGCGGATTGGGCTTCAAGCTACTCCCAAGCTTTTCAAACTATTTGGCACAGTTTATTCGCAGAGCATGTTTGTTGACTCATGGATTTCTACTTGAAAGTTGATTGAGCTTGAAACTGTGTCCCCAAGCTATTGAAAGATTAGTCTCCCAGCTATCTGCTACGTGTATCCGAAGCCCGGCCCTTGCACCCTACCACCATAGCCGCAAGCACCAGCAAAAACTGCTTAGAAGAAAGACCACCCCCGCCCCACCCCACCCCACCCGAACCCACCCTTCGCGCCAACACCTTACTCGCGGCACCGACCCTTCCCTGACTCTTCACACTTGAGGTGAAACCGGCTCTTCGGAAAAATGGCTCATTGGCTGTGGGATTGCGAGCACGACAGCCATGATGCTATGTGAGCTGTTGTCTAAACTCCGTAATTAATGGGGGGTTATATAGGGGACCATTATGGGGGAGATTAAGAGGGATACTAGGAGTTTAGACTATAGCTCATGTGAGCCACTCCGGAAATCTCCTCAGACAGACTCGGCAGCGTGGTTGCAAACACTGTTTGCAACCAGTCTTCGACTGGTTGTCATCATGGAGCGGCTCTTTGTTTGTCCCTTTGGAGCATTTTTCGACTGGGTCTAGACGGCCAGAGAGCCGTACTGCACAATAAGTCCCAAGGTGCGCATAGTGTGGAAATAGGTTGTGAGCAAGGTTGCACAAAGTTGCTGCGCAACAGGGAATCAGGGCCGCGCTATAAGTAAATGCTGGCACTTAGGCGGCAAACTTGCGGTCGACCTATTGGCTGGGCTTGTGATAAAAGAACAGTGTTGCTCGTAAAATCGCTAGGAAGGCTCGCAACACACGGACCAGCACGGAACAACTCCTTGGCATTTGCGCCGCCTTTCGGCTTGTTGTCGCACAGACCGCATGCTGCATACCCTTTGGTCCCAGGTGACTTGGGGGGTGTGCTGGGGCTGGCGGTGGCGTCCAGACCATCCAGGACTCTTTGACATCAGTCGACACATTGACGTATAATGCTGCGTGCGCCGGCGCATGCGACATGCCTGTCATCACATGCGGCCGAGGATCAGCTGCCAATTCCGACTGAATGTGGCTGCCTTATGCTTTGTAGAAGCTTTGAGGTTCAGTACTCCGTAGAACGGCGTTCTCTGCAAAGCTTGCTTTGTAGGAAATACATATTCATAGGAAACATAGAAATAAAGGAGCAAAAACACATAGCACGGGGAAAGAGACGAACGGGAGGACATAGGCAGGGGATGCAAGAGGAACACAAAGCATTGATTCAATATGGTCTCTTTCCATTCCAAATTTCGTTCCTGTCTTTCCATGACAGGGCATCCCGCATCTGTTCAGGAGCGGAAATCCTGGTAGGTGCTCGTTCGTCGCTTCGGACCTGAGCTGAGTGAGCAGCTTTAAACTAGCCGTTGCCATCCTTTTTGCACTGGAAGCACAACCTCAACTTGCAAATGGTTCGACCCACATGAGCGAGCATGGCCATCGGGCATCTTGTGCACGCTACCAGCTGAGGCCAAATGGGCACCATGAGAAGTGCTGCAAATGGCGCTGCTACAGAGAGATTGGCGGCCTTCGGTATACTACACGTATTAACCTCCCATTGGAGGGGCCGAAGCCTGCAGCGGACGCGAATTCAAAAAGGTGCGCGCAAGCTGTTGCGGCTTAAATGTTAAACAAAATGAAAAAGCTGACTTTCGCCATCATCTGCGTGCGCTCCCGGGATACCGTTCAAGCGAGAACCATTGTAGAGCGGATTACACCAAGGACAACAACTGCTTGCGCAGTTCCTTGTAAAGCGGGCTCCGCCGAAAGCTACAAGTAACAGGCAAGTCCCAAATTGAAACACATAAAGCCTTGCGATGGCGCCCATCACGCCATGCTGCAGCTGATCAGCGTCACAGCTGGATCAGCAGCTCATGTTCAGATTACAGTGTGCAGTTTGCGCTTGCTCAACAAATGCAACTGATGACTATAGTATGATAGGTACTGAAACATCTGATATACTCTGCTATACTCTACGATATTACTATACGATACTGCACCACCCTAAACTATACAGTAATGTGTTATGATATACCGTCGCAGGCAGGAGACGGCATCTTCAAAGCGCATGCTCACGTCCGAGAATTCCTGAGGTTGTGTTGCTAAGACGCTAAGAAGTTGAATTGAAGAGCTTGCTCGCTTTTTGGAGCGTGTCTGCTCAAAGTCTGGCGCCTCCGCGATCATTTGCCTCGGCCGTGCATAGCCATGTCCTCGAAGGCCTGGCTGTGGTTTCAATGTTCACTGAGCTGTTGCGCTCACCTGCGCGATTTCATCGAGGTGAAAGTGTCCGCGAGTCGCTTCAACCACCTGGAGATGCTCTTGGGCCTGGAGGTGCGCAGACTGATGGCATAAACAGGAGTGGCGCGAGGCATGCGTGATCATGTGTATGGCATCTTGGCACATGAAGCTGGCGCGAGGCTACGCCTTTCAAGTCCAAGAAGGCCCGTAGATTCCAGTGCACGGCTTCATATTTTCGTTTCTGCGACCCCGTGACCACTTCACCTTGAGACCGCAGCACCTTTGTCGCAGGCACCGACCGGAACAGCCATGAGCCGTGCAACGAGCTCTCTAGCAGGCAAAGGCACGCTCAAAGAAATCAGATTGAAGTTCAGACTGCGGTTCATGTCATTTCCGAGAAAGTTCAATGTGCAGTTAGGGTTTTGCCGAGGCAGCTGCTGACATGAAAGATACTCGCTGTTGCAGCTTTGAGCGATGCGGCAGCATACCTAAAGCAGTAACCAGAAGAACATGCCAGCAATGTCCAGGGCTTCTTTGGCATCACCACATGCTGCGCTAGCTGCATCCAACCTGCTCTCCTTTGGGATTCATGCATCGCCCAACGCTCTCTGTGGCAGCATGCCTTGCTGACATGGACGGGATTGGAGGCGGCTGCGCAGAACAGGGCCCAGATGAAAGCATCGCAGCCACGAGCTCGGAACGAGCAGGGCTGCTGTGAGTCTGCTGTGCTTCGACTTTGTGGCATCTGACAGCTCCAGGTCCCTGAGCAGCTGGCAGCCGCTGCTGTTGCAGCGATTGGAGGCAGCGGCGCAGAACAGGGCCCAGATGACAGCATCGCGGCCACGAGCTCGGAACGAGCATGGCTGATGTGAGTCTGCTGTGCTTCGACTCTCTGGCAGCTGACAGCTCCAGGTCCCTGAGCTGCTTGCAGCAGCCGCTGCTGTTGCAGCGACTGGAGGCAGCAGCGGAGAACAGGGCCCAGATGACAGCATCGCGGCCACGAGCTCGGAACGAGCATGGCTGCTGTGAGTCTGCTGTGCTTCGACTCTCTGGCAGCTGACAGCTCCAGGTCCCTGAGCTGCTTGCAGCAGCCGCTGCTGTTGCAGCGACTGGAGGCAGCAGCGGAGAACAGGGCCCAGATGACAGCATCGCGGCCACGAGCTCGGAACGAGCATGGCTGCTGTGAGTCTGCTGTGCTTCGACTCTCTGGCAGCTGACAGCTCCAGGTCCCTGAGCAGCTTGCAGCCGCTGCTGTTGCAGCGATTGGAGGCAGCGGCGCAGAACAGGACCCAGATGACAGCAGTGACAGCATCGCGGCCACGAGCTCGGAACGAGCAGGGCTGCGTTGAGTCTGCTCAACGCAGCCAAAACATTCAGAGGCTTCGCAGGACTGAAATGCTAAGGCCTAAGTACTTAGACTTAGGTGTCGGCAATTTGTTGACTTATTCAGTAGACTGTGGAACTGCGAAGACTCAGATGCCGTCTGAGGATCCAGAAGGGAGGACCCCTGTGCGAAAGCAAACTAACAGGACGGCGACATGCATGTAGTATTAACAGTCATGCACAGTTATGCTGCTCAGCTTGTTGGGAGCATGGTGTGGCTGCAGCGGCTTTGAAGCACACGACATGAAGGCAAAGACAACGCTGGCAAACACGTTTCATCTGCCAGCCCCGGGAACCCACGCTCAGAAACGCTGATGCGGATGCGGATCAAGTTTCGACCTACCCGATAGCAGGTCTCGTGAACAAGAGGTGGGATGCCACAGCAACATGTTGCTGAAGTACGCAGCAGCTCAAAGGCGCAAAAGCAGGGCGAATAATTTCGGGTTACCTGTATGCATGTTGTGTACTATGTAATGTAATGCAGTAATGTAATGTAGATGTACTGTGATGCAGTGCAATGCAAGGTAAGTAACATAATGTACTGTAATGAAATGAAATGAAGTGTAGTAAAGCCCTGCCCAGTAATGTAATGTAAGGTAATGTATACTGATGTATAATATGTATGCAGTATGCATGTCCCATGTAACGTATGTACGACTGTATGTATGTTTGTTTGTATGTATGTATGCATGCACCTCGGTATGTATGCATGTGTGTATTTTTGTATGTATGTATGTATGTATGTATGCCCACACAAGCTACGTTCCGTTTTGTTCTCGGTATACATGGTTGGGCCGTGAGTGCGAGGCAAGACAGCGCTGCATGTGGCATCTCGACGAGGTCATGTCGGAATTGTTCGGCTGCTGCTGTCTCTGGGAGCCGGAAAGAACCTGCAACAAAGCAAAGGCCAAACAGCTCTGAGCTTGGCTTGCGTCTACGGCCACGTGAAAGTAGCACGGCTGCTTTTGGAAGTTGGGGCTGACAAAACCGTTTGTGACAACAACGGCCTAGCCCCGCTGCACCTGGCATCGGCTCATGCACACTGCTCACTTGTGCGTCTGCTGCTCGCATCAGGGGCAGACATAGGTGCATGCCAAGACGATGGTATCGTGGCCCTGCATGTCGCTGCAGTTTTAGGTCACAAAGACATCGTGCGCTTGCTTGTGGAAGCCAGAGCGGACAAGAATGTTCGGCAGAGTGATGGTATGACACCTTTGTTCCTGGCATCGTTTCATGGCTGCGTGGAAGTGGTGCGATTGTTGCTGCATTTTGGCGCCAAACCGGATGTGCTTCACAACGACGGTTCCAGAGCTCTTCTCGTGGCATCACACCATGGGCACGTGGAAATCGTGGACTGCCTTCTTAATGCAGCATCTGCAGTGGATGTGCAACAAAAGGACTGTCTGGTTCGGGCTGCTGCTGTAAGAGGGTGTTAGCAGATCTCGATCAAGCTTCGTTGCTTCCCAGCGGGGGGGTGGTAGGGTTCAGCTTTCATTTTCGAGGTTGAGGGGTTCGGTGTCAATGTGTTTTCATGCCGAAAGGACGGCTCCACAGCTCTTCACTTGGCCTCGGCTGGTGGACATGTGGCAGTCGTGCGCCTGCTTCTATCAGCAAGGGCGGACACCACCCAGCACCAGACTTCGGGCAAGACGGCCCTGCATCTGGACTTGATTCAGGCGGGTTTCATGACTAGTAGTCACATATGTGCCTTCAACCGGAATAAGACCCTGGTACAATCCGAACATGTTGACCACGAGATGAAACAGGACAAGTAGGTATGCTCCTACCACCATCGATCTATCTGTTGATGAAGTCGATTAGCGGTTGTGTACATGTATATTTGCCTATGTGTGTATGTATGTATATCTGCCTGCCTGGATGGATGGACAGACGGATGGACGGGTGGACGGATGGACGGATGGATGGATAGATGTAGTATGTACACATGTAACTATGTATGTATGTATGTACGTATGTATGAGCACAGGTACGTAGACATGTAGGTGTGTATTATGTATGTATGACTGTATGTAGGTGTGTATTTATGCATGTATGTATGTATACATATATACACATGTATATGTACACCGATGTGTTTTGCCTGTGGTCATGTTATGCTATGTTACCCGTGCAGTCCTGGGTCATGCCTTGTCGTGCAAGACGTATATCTGTGTGTGTAAGCCCACCAGATAGACCCTGCAAAGATCCCTGGTTGTAGGGTTCTTGGCGATAGTTCTGCTCAGCCCAAGGTGCTGGGCGGCCCTGAATGGGCACGTGCTCCTGACCGCAGCTGGAAAGTTTTGTCGGGGCTGTGGCTTTGAGGGCACCTCAACCCAAAATAACTTACCTTTTTAGCGACCTATCTGAGGAAATCATGATGAGGAACCCGACAAAGGTAGGTTAGTCAGGGTTTGATAGTAAGGGGCGACAACATTTTGGGGTTACGAAATTGTAGAAGGGGTGGTTATAAAGTTGAGGTGTTTAGGGTTTATATCGCGTAGCAGTACAGGCCATCAAGGGGTTCTAGATCTTCTTTTTGGCCAATCTAAAGGGGTTCGGAGATTGTGCTAGTAAGCCTCAGAAAGCAAGGCCGAAAGCCTCTTAACCTTTTACAAGGCTCTACAGCGCCTAAACCTCGCCCCTAAACTTTTTAAGCCGCACAAGCCCCTAACTGACAGACCGACCCCGACGCCAGGTGGAGGTAGTCAGCTTGTTGTTGGAGGCCGGCCCCGAGAACCACAAGCCACACAGGGAGCCCTGGCTTTGAGGCTTTAGGGGATTAGGGTGGCGGTAGCCACACAGAGCCTTGACTCAGGGAGGATTCATGGGTTTAGGGCTCGGGGCAGGGCTGATAAGGTGCCATATACATATGTAATCATATGTATGTGTATATATATTATATACACATACATATATACATATACATATGTATATAGAGGGTTTGGGTCATCTAGGGTTTGTGGAGGGCCTTGGGCTTTCGCGGTTTGTATAGGGCTCAGGGTTGGTATGTACGGCTTGGGGATTGATTTACGGGGATGAGGATTTATGTAGCACTTAGGGTTCGGGCTTTTAGGGTTCAGGAGGTTGATGTTTGGGACTAAGCCAGCTCGGCTTTAGTCTATCACCTCGTGCGATTTCCTCAACGTTCGTTCCGATTTATAGCCCAAACCCCAAACCCTCGGGATAGCAGAGGGACAGGCGGCAGCGAATGCAGCGCATGCATGGCGTAATAGGAGTGCCCTTTTGGCTTTAGGGTTTAGGGCCTAGGGTTTAGGCTTTAATTGGGGTTTAGGGTTTTCAGCTCTCAGCCCTTTACTCGGGGCATCTTTCTGGAACCTCCAAATCAGGTACTCCCTTTATGGGAGGTGGGCTGGTTCTTATGGGAGATTCGGGCAATTAGCTCTTCCGTTGCTGAGCGTCCATTATCTCGTCATGCGTTTGATACTTTTTCTTATGGGGGAGAGAAAAGAGGAGAGCCATGGAAGAGCCATGGGAGAGCCATCGGAGAGCCATGGGAGAGCTATGGGAGAGCTATGGGAGAGCCATGGGAGAGCCATGGGAGAGCTATGGGAGAGCCATGGGAGAGCTATGGGAGAGCTATGGGAGAGCTATGGGAGAGCCATGGGAGAGCTATGGGAGAGCTATGGGAGAGCCATGGGAGAGCCATGGGAGAGCTATGGGAGAGCCATGGGAGAGCCATGGGAGAGCCATGGGAGAGCCATGGGAGAGCTATCAGAGAGCTATGTGAAGCCAGCTTCTCATCTTACATACGAGCCCTGCAACAAGCCCATCGTCTTACATGCGAGTCCGGAACGAGAACCCTCGCAGGCCCATCAACTTCCATAGGCGACCTACCATCGTAGAACGGAGTTCTGCCAACGGCTTCAAAATATCTCCCATATCACTCCCATAAGGATAGGTAAAGCATAGTCCTATAGAAGCAGTATGGGAGAGCTATGGGAGCGGTATGGAAGAAACCCAGAAAGGGAATACCCGAATTGCAGTTACCAGAAAAGTCCCCCGATTTACGTGGCCGACAGCTCTCAGAAAGACTTCTCAGCCACCAGATCAATACAAATGTAGGCTGCAGTGTTGTGGGGGAATTGTGGTTTCTTGATATTCACTGACAGATCAGGGGTACCCATAGAAATAGTCAGCCGAAGCCGTAGCGAGAAGAAGAACCAAAGACGGGATCTTCGGATTAGGTGCGATTCTTCTGTGCACGCGCTGGCTTCACCCGCGGATGTCTAGTGCCAACATAACATTAGACAATCGTCGGATCTGCAAAACCCTCAATCCCCAACGGCCGCAAAGAAGTCCTGAACCTCTGAAGCCCCAAAACCCTGACCACCGTACTTTGCGAAGCTGGTGGAAAACATACTCCAACCCCGGAACCCTAACTCTCAAGACCAAGACTTGCCAAAACATAGTCCAAGCCCTGAAGAAGTCTGGAGAGTCAGGAGAGGTGCATGGACCCGCGCCTTGCAGCTTGGCAGGGCCGCGTGGAAGAAGCCACAGCGCTTTCGCAGGCGGAGCATGCGGCTCGACCTTGGTTGGACCAGTTAGTACGCTACTGTCGGCTACCGTGTTAACTACATATTACATAATACTATCACTTTTCAATGCAACTAGTAGTACAAGTAGCAGTAGCAGTAGCAGTAGTAGTAGTAGTAGTAGTAGTAGTAGTCGAAGTCGTATCAGTAGTCGAAGTCGTATCAGTAGGAGTAGGAGGAGCAGTGGCAGTGGTAGTAGGAGTAGCAGCGGTAGTAGTAGTAGTAGTAGTAGTAGTAGTAGTAGTAGTAGTAGTAGTAGTAGTAGTAGTAGTAGTAGCAGCGGCACCACCAGCAGAAGCAGCAGCAGCAGTGTTAGTAGTAGCAGTAGTTGTAGTAGTAGTAGTAGTAGTAGTAGTAGTAGCAGCAGCAGCAGTAGTAGTAGTAGTAGTAGTTGTAATGGGTGTCGGTGGTCGTGGTGGTGGTGGTGTAGCAGAAAGCGACAGTCCTCTCAGTTGTCGTCGTAGAGGACCAGAAACCGTAGCAGCAGCAACAGTGGCTTTGGCAGCAGGTTCGGGGTGCAGCCAGTACGTCTCTCATCACAGTGCCTGTGTGAACGATTCAGGAAGTAGCAGCCTTGCCGCTTGTACGGCATTCTCGCATCTGCACAAAGCGGATTGTGGCAGAAGTAGTGTGGAAAATCCCAACAGCGGCAGGCCGATCCTCGAAACCCTGCCTTCGATAGTGAACGGGGGAACTTTAAGCTTTTTGGCTTTATATATGAGCTCTATCATAGAAAGTTTGAGCCTTTTGGGGCCCGGTTGTTGAAGAAGAGAGTACCAGCTCCTAGCCCAAGATTCCTTTCTGGGCCGCCGAGGAGAAGGCCTTAGCTCTTGAGGTGGCGTCAGCAGCCGGCCACACGGAAGTGGTGTGCTTGCCGCTCACTTCGAGATCCTAGAGGATTACATAGACTTTCTTCTGGAGAAGGCCTTCCACAACTTAGGTTCGGGGTTGGGAAATTTCGAATTAGGATTAAGACTAGCCCGGCCATGTCAAACTGTAGAGCCGTTTCGGGTTTCAAAGACTGGGTATTGTTCAACTGTTCTGAGGGACCCTTAATAAGGACCCCTAAGTATATACCCTTAAGATAGCTATTATATACCCAAAATATAGCCCATTACAGGGAAGGGTTCCCCAATGTTCTGAGCGTGTTTTGCTCCGGTGAAGCACGGAGTCGCGTCCGGGAGTCAGACCAGGTTCGGAGTTTACCTAAGAGGGTGGGGACTGTTGGGAGTGTCGGATAGTGAATACTTAGTAGGAGTCGGAAAAGGTAGCAACCTTCGTTTGCAGTTAAAGGCAAAACTGCAAACTTAAACTCTGATGAAATCCTATACCAATTACGTATGAGGACCCGTATGTTAGGGATCAGGGATTAAGGTCGAGCTTCAGGCACCTACGCCATCTAAATAAGACAGGGAGGAGTTGACCGACAACAGACGACGAGGAGTTTCCATTTGGTTTGCAAATAACTCGCAATACTATCTGGATAATAGTTTCGGCAGAGCTATCGGCATAATCGCCCCCCCTAGTCCAGTTAACTAAGCCCCTACATTAAATATAGTCCCACAGGTCCCAAACGCCGAAAGTGCGATAGCGCATTGCGGTCGCCACGGCGGGGGGCACAAAGGATGCAGGCTCCGAAGCGCTGGGAGGAGGAGTGGCAGGGCGGGGGGATGCTGGGAGCCACAGCGCGCAAATGGTCAAACAAGGCCTGGGCTCATTGAAAGCCGCAGCGCGGAAATGGGTCAAAAAATGGAGTGGCTATCGTGGCTCCAAAAACGCTCCGTTCGATGGCAATAGCCGAGGTGCAGGCATCACCGGTCCTTGCGTGCTACTGGGGCGGACTGTGTGCCATTGGGAGTGAAAGCTTCGGACGGGACCCATTTGGTGTCTGACATGATTGCGAAATCATATATGACGGCCGTTCCGAGAACTGACCGTGGCTGCCGTGCTCGTCAATGATTTGAGCTGGGCGGTGGATTGGCAGTTTCGAGCTGACTTCTTGGGCAATGCTGGAAATCCCTTTGACGGACCTGGCTTATCCAGAGACTGACAAGCCCCTTAATGTAGGGTTTAGGCATCCTAACTCGTATGAGGGCTCCCCTTTTTGAGGGAAAAGGGTTTGGAGTCGTTGCATCTTCCCGGGCAGCGGAGCAGCCTAACTCTGCAGCGTGGTGTTTTGGATTTACGGCCCCCTTAAAACCCGAAAAAGACCTTGAAACCCGAATCCTAAAGCGCCGGGGTCCGGATTTAGGATTCGGTGTGGGCGTCCCATGTCCAAGGCTTCGGGAAGCCGGAGCAGACAAGCGCTTCCGCCCACTCGAAGCTTTTGCAGCTCTTTGGCCTTGAGAAAGTTGAGAGTTGAGACTGGCTTCAGGGTTTGGGGCATAGGGTTTGAGGGTTTAGATTTTGCTTTTTATTAAACTTGGGCTTCGGGCTTCGCTTTTCGGGTTTATCCTCTAAGGTTACGGGCTTAGCTTTCAGGTTTAAGACTGAAAAACAAGCCCTGGAGACACCGAACCTAGGCCCTGAGCAAATCGAAATCCTCAAACCGAAACCCTCGAAGCTGAGTTTTGAACTCAAAACGGCGACAACGCCTGAAAGTCCCTTCACATGAGCGGTTGAGTGTTTTTTCGCTGCAAGACCCCCAAAGATTGAATCCTCCAGATGTGGACCCTCAACCCCAAACCTTGGGCCCTGACATTACTTCAAGATCCTCCCATATAGGACCTGTAGTCTGCTGGTTTGAGCCATAGGAGCTAAAAGAGCCTGCACACTTAACACTGATATTGTTCAGGGTTCTGTCTTTGTCGTTATGCGCTTTTATTTGTGTACATATATACAGATTATATGCATATGCACTTGTTTGTCTGTATGTATGTATGTCTGTATGTATGTATGTATGTATGTATGTACGTGTGTGTATGTGTCTGTACATGTATATGTATCTATGAACACATGTGTGTATGTCTGTGTATATATATATATATACACACGGTACACTATTCTGATGATTACAGCGCTTCCTTTTACCGTCACCGGCTCACGGGTTGCTTTGGTGTTGAATTCCTCCCCGTAAACCTGGAAAGCCTCATGACCCCTAAGCTCCAAGCCTTAAGCCACTGAGCCCTGAACCACCTCGCTTGCATGCTAATCCCCCATGCTTTAGAGAGTGGTGTTTTGGGTATCATTGGAGGTCGGGTGTGGAATTGAGGGGTTTTGGGTGCACATGGATTTGGGATCTGAAAGAGTACAGCGGCGTGGATTCAAGGGTTGCGTGTCAAAGGCTTGCTGGGTGAGCGGCGGGTGTCGAAATTGCCCACATTTCCGGCACACTTCTCGTCCCCCTACAACGGCAGGAGCGACGTCAAACCCCCAAGAACTGTACTGAACTGTGGAGGGTGAAGGGGCTTCGGGATCTTACAGAACAGCCTCTTGTCACATGTCTTTCTGTGCTGCTTGTACCGGTAGCAGCATGTCTACCCCCGACATCAGCACAGGTTCGTCACATGGCCTTCTTCTTCAAGACAGCGAAGAAGCTGTGTGCTTGAAAGCTGTGACCCTGACGGCGAAAAGCCCGACGAGGGTAGCAGGCATCATTGTATTTCAAAATGTTTCGAATTGTTTGGATATGCTCATGTTGTACATCTTGGACAGCTGCAGGCAGAGATGTAAGGCTCGACTCTCGACCGTTGGAAACTTCCAAACTCCAGCTGCAGACCGCGGACTTGTCGTTTGACCCGGTACACTTGTAGCTTGTGTCAGCAGGCCCCTCGTAGATTCGCAGGTTCTTGTTACATTCGAAGTACTACAGCCTTTTGCAAGCCCTCTCCAGACCCACGGCTCTAAGTTCGGAGTCTCCTGAACCCGAACCTTGTAGCCTCAAAAACTTGTTAAGGCCTGAGGCCCCAAAAAACCGAAACCCTAAATCTGCGACCCCACAAACACCTGAAGCCGTCCTGACGCTGGAATTTCGGCGCGTTTGACCCGACAAAACGGGGGAGCAACGGCTCGTCAGGGTTCTCGAAGGGACTTCCCAAAGGTCGTGTGTGGAGCAGCTAAGCAATCCACGTTGAATATTCATAGATGCACTTTATAATTGTGCATAAGAATACACAATACGACCTTCGTAAATAAGCTAAAAGCAAAGGGTGAGCCAGCATGCATGAACATCGTGGCATCCCACAGTTGATCCTGTCGACACGCGTCTGTCACAGAACCCCTGAAACGGACCGGACGCAGACTCAACGCAGAACATCAGCATCGAGATGCGCAGAGCGTTGCTAAAACGATGCGCGTCGGGTGTAATTAGTGTTCGGGCTTTGGGGCAAGTTAGCACGGGGTCTTCTCTTGTAAGTTTTGATGGGGATGCGGCACTTCTGTTCGACTGGTCACGTGAACTAGCTCCGACATACACTGAGGGGAGTGCGCAGTTTCGAAGGCAAGCTTATGGATCTGTGAGGCATTGCCGTCAGGACAGGGTGTTGAGCATTCAGAAATCAGGGTTTCGTGCCCCAGGGGCTGGGGAGCCATGAGCTGACGAGGGGGAGGTGGGTCTACTTTGGGGTCGAGGAGCTTCTGGCTTTTAGGGCTTTTTCGCAGAAGAAGCTTGAAGTGCAAGCATTCGGACTTGAAGGAAGAAGCCGATTGCAAATCCTCATTTCGCAGCCCTTGCTTCGTCAAAGGGCCTGCTCACCAGGCCCTTGCAGATCTCCTCTCGTATACCCCAAACCGTAGGGAAGAGGGTTTATGGTCTAGGGCCCTAAATCTTATAGTATGGAGAACCCCGCGTAGTGTATCTGTTTCAGATTCACGATGACCTCTGCGCCAGGCTGCCCCAGACAACCCTGACGCGACGACCGAAGATGCGGCTGTCAGCAACGAGGGCGGAGAAGAAAAAGAGGGGCGGACGCCGGGAGGTTCGGGTAATTTAGGCTGTGAGCTTCCAAATGCGACAGCATAGCTCCAACACGAGGGTTTCTCAAAAGCAGGAGTCTGGAACCTCCTTATAGAACTTCGTACCCTTCAAGAACCGTAACCCGCTAAGGAGCCCTGCTACTCCCTCCTGTCCATGGGCTTGCCCTTAGAATCCCAAAGCTGACAGGGTTTGGTTGTCTCTCCGACAAGGAGCCCCTCTGTGCCCTAAACACCCAAAAACTCCCTTAAACCCTCAACGCCAAACTCCTGCACATTTAGAACCAGAATCCCTATCCTCAACTTCTTTATCCTTTCTTCGCACCGCTGAAGGCCCAAAACCCCTTCAAAAAGAAAGTCCGAGGCCGCACCTGTTCTCCTGGAGTGCCAAACCAGCAAGGCCAGAAGTTGGCTGTTTCGATCTATGTCTGTGTGCATGTATCTATAGGTATATACGTATACATGTATATGTATATATGTATATACAGATAGATAGATAGATAGATTGGGGCCAAGGGGTTGGGGTGAGGCTTAGCTTGGGGCTTGAGGGTGCCTTCGAACTTGATCTTCTTGTGCCAGCCGGGGGAACGATTTGCCATAATGGAGATCCCTACTTGATTTGGCCCCCTGCTGTGGTAAGCGCTTTTTTTGGATCAAAATCTTGAGGCCCTCACAAGAGGGGGTTTTGGTCATCAGGTGCCTCCATTATTGCATTCCTCCAAATCCCAGGGCCACGAACCGGGATGCCGAAGTGCCGACACTCGGAACTGAACCATGGACTGGCATCCCAAAGACTCCCCAGGTTCCTGGCTGAACACGGGCAAACGAGCTTCCAGTAGCAATCGCGCTTGCTGCATTATCCGAGCCCCCGAGATTGCCTGCTCCTAGTTTATAGCAAGTCGGTCCGAATATGTTTAATTCGTACTAGCAATATCCCTAGCTGTCCCCATGTTACAACATGATACTGTGACAAACCCCCAAGCCCTTGTCCAATTGTCAAGGACTGCATATTAGACCAATTCGGATTGAGGTTTCGGGCCTGCTCTACATCTAGACCCTAGCCGGCCCCAACCCCCAAACTGAACCCCAAACCAGAAAACCATGCTCGGCAGCCACTCTGTCTCTCGGATCCCCATGCGGCCGGGCAGTTGAAAACCCTTCAATCCTAAACCCCGAAAAACTGAAAACAACCAGAAGACAATTGGCCCGAAAGCATCATCAGCGAAGAGTGTGGGGCTATGTGATAGATCCAGTGTATAGGATCGTAAAGTCACAGAATCAAGAGTCATAGAGTCCATGAGTCATGAGTCATAAAGTCATAGAGTTGCAGTGACATAGCGTCATAGAGTCGTAGTGAGATAGAGTCAGTGTATAGGATCGTAAAGTCACAGAATCAAGAGTCATAGAGTCCATGGGTCATGAGTCATAAAGTCATAGAGTTGTAGTGAGATAGAGTCACGGAGTCGTGGAGTCATCTTTGTACCATACACTTGACTCGATGTAGTTCACTCTATGCCCTGTGTGTGGGAACGCTTAATCAAGATCCGCCTAGCGTGAGGGCTCAGAGCCTGACTCAACAGGTCAAGTGGCAACTTGTCAGAGGGATTGGCAAATGCATAATATATGGATACTATACATATAAATATATATATATATATATATATATATATATATATATATGGAAATGTGCCTGGCCAAGAACTGGCCACTCGTCCTTGGCATTCCTGCCTCTCAAGTTATGAAGGGTGGAACGCCTCACATCGTCCTCATTGTACCAGCGGAAACACCAGCTGCAGAAAATGGCGTTATTGCAAGAAGCTTCACTGACTTCACAATAATAGAGCTGCGAATGAGGACAGAGTCACAGGTGACTGACTGGTCTCTGATCAGCCATGGCACATCTTAAAATCTTCCTGAAGACTTGGCTTTTTTTACACACACGCACATTCTTCTCGTGGCGGCGTCGTTGCTTGCTTGCTCTTTCGCAAGACAGCGTCGAAGCAAGCAAGCAACGTCCCAAAGACCGGCATCGGAGAGGCGGCCTGAGGAGGTGCCGGGAGAGGTCATCCCAGGGATTACGGTGGTCCGGAGCCTCGTGAAAATGGCTGATTGTAGTTGCAAAGGTTCGTCGGGAGCCCCGAGCCTCCATAGCACGCATTATACCAAGCCAGGGTATAGGGGTATAGTATCATGGAAGAAGAAACATAGCGGCAGCTGACAAACATCCCCAAACGGAAGCCGCAACACTGGTCTCTGAAAGGAGTCGGGAATTAGGGTTTCGCTCTTCATCTCAAACCACAACAGGCCAGCGTATGTTACTTAGCCGATTCAACAGACTCCAGGGGAACGCCAGGGGCTTATGGGTCCTTAGGCCTAGTAGTAGGACTAATGCAGGGATCATGGTGGTCCAGAGCCTCCTCCAGAAAGATTGATTCTAGCTGCAGACATTCATCGAGAGCCCCAGGCTTCGGTGACACCCTGTGTATCAACCCAAGGTATACTATCTCAGAAGAAGAAACCCGGCGGCATCTGGCAAACATTCCCAAGCGGCAGTCACAACACGGGTCTCTCAAAGGATGATTGGGGATTTAAGATCTATCCTATACCACAAACGGGTCCACCTCGCTGAGCTGCTGCGCGATCCGTGGCGCCGGGATTCCAGCAGCGAAAGGCAGTGCAGTCATTAGGGATTTGGAAAGACACCGTTCCGAAGTGAAACACCTTACTTCACCAGGAAACCCGCCAGATGCCGCAAAGTATTTAACGTGCCACGCAATCGAGGAGCTCCTGCGTCTCGATGAGCCTTTGTCTGCTCACAGGACGTCGCGGCCAGGAGGAGAACACCGAGGCATTGGGAATCACTACGCTTCCGCCGCACCAATGTACCAATGCGAGCACTTGAAGTTGCCGTTGACGGTTCGCCCATCATAGTTCTCGCTCGGCAGCCTTCGATTGTCAATCGGCCTGAGACGCCCACGGTACCTCACAACTTCATGGTGCACTCCTGCTCCGTTGACGGATCCATGTGCTTCATAAATGCACGCTTCGTGCAATGCGTTGTCTCTTTAGCACACAAACACACACACACACATACACACATACAACTGGTTCGTGGGAGTTCGCAAGATCAAGTGAGACCACAGAAGCCTTCGATTTGACTTCGATCTATGCAGAACAACAGACCTTACACTGCATCACGAAGCATTTCGGAGTCGGGTTGGGGGTGGAGAGCCAGCGCGGGAGGAACCTGGACCTAGACCGGATTACTCTTCCCAGGCGACCCTCCCCGGCCTTCGTCGTCAGCATCGGAGAGGTGGCCTGGTGAGGTGCTGGGAGAGGTCATACACGAGTTACGGCGGTCCGGAGCCTTGTGAAAATGGCTGGTTGTAGTTGCAAAGGTTCATCGGGAGCCCCGAGCCTCCATAGCACGCACTGTACCAACCCAGGGTATAGTATCATGGAAGAAGAAACATAGCGGCAGCTGACAAACATCCCCAAACGGAAGTCGCAACACTGGTCTCTGAAAGGAGTCGGGAATTAGGGTTTCGCTCTTCATCTCAAACCACAACAGGCCAGCGTATGTTACTTAGCCGATTCAACAGACTCCAGGGGAACGCCAGGGGCTCATGGGTCCTTA